ATAACTTGTGCCATTCCCCCAACCGTCTTCCTTTTTTAATGTAATAATTTTACCAGTCAATAATAATAATTTCAGTAAAACTGCTTTCAATTTAAATAGTAACAAACACACAAAAAGAACAAAATCAGTAATGAAGCACACATTATCAAAATATAATTAGAAATCATCTTTATAATAAAGCAAAAATTAAAGAGATATATTATATAAATGATCAGATATGGAAGAGAACTCTGTATGCAGATAAGATCTATTTTAAATTATAAGTTATAATTGTTAGACATATTTTAAATCAGTCATTTTATAACTTTACTAAAGGTGACCTTCATGTTGAGAGAAAGGTGAGAAATGACTTGGACTTTTCAAGTTTATTCAAACTTTTTGGGGGATGTAATGATGTACTCAACTAAATTATATTAACTGATAAGCGGGTGCTTATCCGTTAATGTTATTGACTACATGCAACACTCTCCTCTCCCTTACAAGTAATTTTTGAGCCGGTGTGCAGGTAGTCCAGGCTCACGCCAAGACCTGGCATCCACCACCACACCAGCTCTTAGTGCTTATACCGTAGAGTCACAGTGGGGGTTGATGTAACACCTGTAGCGTGGGCACACTGGCTCAGTCCTGGCTCATGCCAGGACGCAGCATCAACCCCCACTACAACTCTGTGCTTGTACAGCAAAGCCAGAGCAGGGGTAGTTGCTGGACCTGGCAGAAGCTGGAATTGAGTGGTATAAGTGCTACCCTTTATCGACTAATCTACAAAATTTTTGTCGATGACATGATTAATAAATTACTTGTTTCTTAACATCTCTACTTTTTTAATGTGCACAATGTCCCTTGACAATCTCTTGATGACACTGTTCAGGGACAAAAAACAAAAACAAACAACGAAACAAGAATGTGCACAATGTCCCTTAACATTGTCTTGATGACTCTGTTCAGGGACAAAAAACAAAAACAAACAACGAAACAAAAAGTCATCCATTTCCATGAAGAATTTTTAAAGATGTTACTTATTCTACCAACCCTAAAGTCACATTCTACGTTGGAATTCTAATTTTGGACACCTTCTATTGTTAAGCCAGCTAAAGTCAGGTGGCATTAAATCAAGTCATAATTCTTGTTCATTTTACAAAAATATAATTAAAATAAGAGAAAAAGGAATGTGTCTATTTGATTAGTACGGAAAGCAATGAAAGTATGGGATCATCGACAATATTGAAAAATATTACCTGCAACAGGACAGGAAGCTTTCTTCCTTACCTCACAGAATAAGCCAATACTGACTTATGTTGTCTGTTAATTCAATGTACCACAACATAGGATATGTTGTAGTTTTAATATTACTGTAAACAGTGTAGCTGTAACTCAGATTTGGGTAGTTCAAACCTAGATTAGCATTTGACATTTCTCCACCTCCCAGATGAGGCTAGGATTGAATTGTGAATGTAATTTTTTCAATTGCAGTTCTCTACCTCACATCCATTCAAAAAACCCTCAAAACCATAAATATTCACTATTCATGTTATTATGTATATATTCTTTGTTCTCCAAGGCACATTGTTGATCTAAACACTACATTGCAATGTTTCCTATATAGCCATCCTAAAACATTACTGCACATCAAACTCCAGGTAACATCTGAACACATTTTTTTCACGGTACCTGACGGTAGATTTTCCTAGAGCAAAAGTAAACAGTCATGCTGATTTTGTGTCACGTCGGTGGTAAAAAGTTATTCAGACCAAGGAATAGACACTAATTATTTAGACCTGTCAATTATATTTTGATTGGTGTACATCGGTGGTCCTTATTCAGACCAAGGAATAGACACTAATTATTTAGACCTGTCAATTATATTTTGATTGGTGTACTATAGGATTCATGCAGAATTTAAACCATATACAGTATAGATAGATACAGTTCATTTTCATAGTCCCTCCAGATTGTTCCATGACTACAGTGGTCCCTACCCTGACTGGGACCTTAAAGCAGTAAGGACCACATTTTCACAGATAATTTGAAGCCTTTAACTGTAGATAAGCACCAAGTTTCAAAATTCTCAAGCAGGTTAAGTGCCTATTTCCAATCAATTTAAAGCATTTGGGCTTAGCGTTTTTCCCTAAATCCCAGTATGAAATTGTAGACAGCTAAATAACTTCCCTAAAACAAATAAATAAATAGCTTACATGTTGTTTGCTCACCATTCTTTTCTACTATGCTAGTCAACTGATAGCCATTCATTATTCCTACCGTATCACAAAAATTATATAATATTATTTATGTCCATTAATTGAACTAACACATCATAAACAGGAGGAGAACACTTCTAGTACAAATAGTGGATAGATATATGAACAGAGATATTCAATGAAGAAGAACCTTCCCGAAAATTTGTATTGAAACAAAATCTACTTGCATGAATAGTCCTAACCAAAAAAAAAAAAAGCAACACAAAATATGGAATTCTAATTAGTGAGAACATAGATGCATTTTGAATAAATATGATATAAAAAAATAATCACATTCAGCTCTGTAACAAAATATTTTGAGGTTTAAAAAGCAGCAGAAGAAACTTCCTTTACTGTCAACAGCCATGGATTCAGGCTTGCAAGTGACCAACACACGCATCTCTCATTCAAGATATTCTTGAAAGCATGAAAAGAAAAGAATGAAAAGAACTCTCACACACAGAGGGCATGTGAGAGTGGCCACACTAGGTAGACTGAAGAATGAAGTGTTGTAGCAATTAATTTCACAGCATGAACAAAAGAAAGATTCCTGGAAACCGAGTAGTAAGCCACTATACCCCAATTCATTTTGATGTACACATACTATATATAATGAGTTAATCCCATATATCAGAAAGTAGTTATTATCCACAGATATTACACTTGATTCATTTTTTAAATAAAAAAATCTGGATAAACTGCTGATATATCATTAACATTTCAGTGAATTATATTATTTTTCTGAAAATACCATGTGACTAAAGGCCATATTCTGATACATTATTATTTTTACATCACAAAATATGTATTATCCATATAAATGTTCAACTGATTCATTTTGACACAATCATATGAAAAATGTATCTTCCTGGATGCACCAGACTAGTAATAATAGGATGTAATTCTCCACTTTACACTTTGATCCAGATTATAGCTTTAAATCACATCTACAGTTGATGAGAAGGTGTGAATACCAAAAGGAAAGTAATTTTTGTAATGAACTAGCCACTCCCACTCTCTATTCAAACCAAGTTGATTAGCATCATATTTGCATATGAATTACAACTCTACAGTTTCAAGATGAAGTCTGTTTTTAAGAGCCTTTTTTTTGTGTGTGGGGGCAGGGAGAGGGGGGAGAGAGAAGGAGAGAGGCTCAAGTTCGGCAACTTTCAAATCTGTTATTGAGTATCCAGAGAGGTTGAAGTGCTCTCCTACTGGTTTTTAATATTTCCGTTCTTGATATCTGATTTTTGCCCATTTTTTCTTTTGCATGGACACTCCAGTTTGTCTATTTTACATGGCAGAGGGGCATTGCTGGTACATGAGGGTATATATATATATCATTAATAGATGTGCATGTGAATGAACTGCTGATATTCTGGCTGATGTGTTTAAGACCTATGGTGGTATCACGTGAGTAGATAGGAAGACAGAGGTGGCAATGGGGCATGCTGTGAGCTTCTATTTGGGACAAATCCATGTATCAAAGGTTATAAAAAGGCAGCAGCATCTACTCTATTTTGTCTTCAGTTCTGCTCCTCATCTCTGAAATAACATCTCTACGAACTAAAGCTTTGAATTAAACTCACCAATGCTGCTAAGAATCTGATATTTGGACTCTGAAATAATATGTATGTATCTGATTGCTTTGACTATTTAACAACTTTCTTTTCTTTTTGTCCCTCTTTAGTATCTAAAACTAAAGGTTTTATTCTAAAAATTGACTGGCAGCATGGTATTTTGGGAAAGATCCAAACTAGTATTGATCTGGTAATATGCCCGGCCCTTTGGGCAACAGAAAAACATTCTGTATAATGGAATAGTGTTTTAAATAACTTTACATTTTATTGGACCCATTTGCTGATTGGGATCCAGAGACTGGAACGTAATAAAGGCTGCAGGATTTCCGCCCTCTCCCCTCCCCCAGCTTCTTGATAATTAGTATGGGGTGTAAGGAGTACATTTTTTACTTTTTTGTGAATCTAGCTATAGTGTTAACCATCACTTTGGGGAACATTACTCTTCTTTTTGCCGTCTGCCCACACCTTGGCATTTTCAGTATGAGCTACCCAAGGCACCTCCAGTCACAGCTAGTTAAAAATTGTTTTGGTAGATAAAATGTTTTTAGGCACTCTGTACTTGTAACCTTCTCTCCTTGACATCCTTTCCATGGTTTACCATCATTGGATTCCCATTATACGTTCTTTTCATCTTATATGAATTATTTTGGTTAATGCCATCATAATTAATATAATGTATTCTAAAGATGGGAAAGAATGTACAAGATCAGATTCTCTAATATAAATGTCTCAACATTGCCAAAAGAGGCAGACTAGAACCTATGGACCAAATTCTGATACACATGAATAAAGGTATGAGCATTCTTCTACAGTCTCGCCCTACAATTAGATCAAAGGTACAAATATAAATACAGAATGAGTAAAATCTAAAAGCCAAAATAAGTTTATTTTAGATACAAACAAATGGTGTAATTTGTATTTGATAAATTATAAAATATTTTCTTCTATAGAGTTGCTGATGTGCGTAATTGTGTAAATGTTTCAAAAGCCTCATTTTCAAGTGAGTGAGATTCATCAAATTATTTTGCACTTTGAGGTTTTACAGACTCAGTATTAAAAAAAATAATAATCACTATTTCCTTTCCTCTATTCTTTCTGTCACAAGCTATTTTTGTGTAGTTAAACGAAAGGGAATTTTATAGTGCATCTATAGTGAATGTTGTGGTTTACCCATTTTTTTTCAGATACTACAAAATCTACACAAAGAGCTGATCAAAGAATATAAAACACCTAACCACAAAAATGGAATAAGTAAATAGCATCATTGCACTTGAAGGAATAGCCATAAATTAAAGTAGCAAAGATATGCCCTTTGCAGATGCAGGTAATACAAAAAGCAATTATTTTAAACTATTATGGATAATGCATTTCAAATAATCTTGGAAAATGTCCTACCATCACCACTATTCATATGAATGCAAAGCTGAACATAGAGATACCCTTTCATAACCAACACAAATAGAATGTAATATACAAACATATTCCAGAAGTATTTATGGTATTATTGTTGTATAGGGATCAATAATATACACTTCACCATTGTATCTAATCTGCTATGGATGAGCACTAAGCTTCAACACACTATTTATTAAAGCTCTGCAGAGAAAAGAGCATTCCATTTCAGAAAGGATTTTGATATTTCATAATTTGCATTTGGGCCTGTTGGGAACAAACCTCCTCAATTTCAAAATTCTCTACAAAAAAGAATGGAGCTTCTACTCCAGGGCACTCCACTTAGGGGTGTACCCCAGAGCCATAGACCCTGGAAGACTGGTTAAGATGACAGGATACCAGATAGGTTTCCACTGGAGCCCTATCCTGATTACTGTCTGAGCCAAATCATCTCAAGATTTCAATGAGTCGCCAAATTCCTGTAAATGTCTGTTAGGATTTTTTTCAAGCAGCTGAACTGTTTATCAAAATTTTGAGCTATGGCAAACAACCTAGAGTTTATAGATTCATGGGCCTGATCCAATATTCATTAAAGGCAATGGGGAAAATGCCATCTACTTTAACGCCCTTTACATCAGAGCCTTACCACAGCTCATCTTGGCATGAAAACTGATGTGTAGATGCTCTTACAGTCTGAATCCAAAATTGTAGCTATCTCTTTGAAGGAAAATTAAACTTTTTTGGATACTTAGTTGTAAGCTCCTCTCGTTCACTATTCCAGCATGACATTATTCAACAGAGGGCAGGCCTCCCTTTTGGATTTTCTTACAACTTTAGGAGATGGGACCTGAAATTCCTCCCTTTGCTCTGAATTGTATGCCACTGTGTGTTCAGCTCAGCCCAGCCCCACTTAGACTCAGGCACAAAGTTCTTCACTAAAGAACCAGAACAGGGTCACAATTCAGCAGCATCATCTCAGGTTGCCTCATACTCCTATCTTCATTGCTAAAAACTTCCCACTGGACGGGAAGAGTAACTTTTTTTGCATAAACAAGTAGTCCACAATCTGTTTTTACTACCACTGGTACTGAAGCACACTGACCCTTGGGCTACATAATAATTTACATATTAATGTCTCCCTAAGATTATCAGTTTGCTTGCTTGTTTTAAAGAATACTCCTTTAGCACAAGGATAATTTTTCTATAAACATTCAAAGCTTTAGTTATCAGACCCTAAGGCAAAGAATCATCAGTTTGTTTTTCTATTTCAACTTGTAACCCAGTAGAATTATAGTGATGTCATATATCATCTTCTCTCATATTGAATTGGCATCTAGCACTGCATGATAACATTGTAAACATGAAACACATTGGTTTTAATACAAGCCTTTTATCAGGTTTGGAAATTCTCTCTCTCTCTCATTTCTACAGTAGAGGAGCATAGCACACATTTTTTAGTCTAAATTACATGCTTTTTTCCTAAACAGATTGTTTATTGAAGTAGTCACACAAACACCTCAGATTTATGTTCTGTGCTCTCACTTGCCTGGGTGTACCAAAGTTGCTTGAGTTAATGCACATTCCCTTTCTGATATACTTATGAAAAGAAATAATGATATGTGAGCTAGTCATCCTATTGAGCTGAGTGACATGTTTCATTGTTCTGTATAATGTTGAAATCTGTTTCATAGGCAAGCAGAAGGTGAAATCATGTCTCCCACGTATATCACAATTCAGAGGTACATCCTTTAGTAATGCTCTTTTGAGTACTTTTTGCATAACAAATTTGTGATGGCTTGGCTCCATCTCTCTTTTCTGTCTTCCTTGTACTAGAATTCTCACATACAGAAGCACTCCAGCAGGCCTCTGGCCTAAATTTCATGCTTGACATCTTGTTTCAGGCACCATTTTCTCCTATCAGCAAACTCACCACTTCCATCTCTGCTACATACAGTCTCTTCATTAACACTAGTGTGCTACCTGCTAATTGCTTCTTTGCCATGCTAATATTGACTAAACTTCATATTAATCCTCTGGGTACACAAGAACATAAAGTGTCATACTGGACTAGAAGGTCCATTGGTTTGACCCAGTACCCAGTCTTCCAACAATGGCTGGGTGTCAGATGCTTCAAATGGAATGAACAGAACAAGGCAATTATGAAGTGATTCATCCTCTGTCATCCAGTCCCAGTTTATGCTGTCAGAGGTTTAGAAACATTCAAAGCATAGAGTTGCATCCCTAAACTTCTTCGTTAATTGCCATTGATGAACTAATCTTTCATGAAATTATCTAATTCTATTTTAAATTCAGCTATACTTTTGGTCTTCTCTGCATCCTCTGACAAATGAGTTCCAGAGGTTTTTATTTTGTTAAGTATTTTTTTTCAAACTTGCTGCCTATTAGTTTTATGAATTGGCCTTGTGTTATGTGAAACAACACTTCCCTGTTGACTATTTATCTATCGTTCATGACTGTATAGATTTTTACTATCACCCTTGACTCTCTTTTTTAAATGGAACAATCCCAATCTTTTTAATTTTTTCTCAAATGGAAGTTGTTGCAGACCCCAAATAATATTTGTTGTCCTTAAATGGACTTTCTCCAATAGATTAATATCTCTTTTTGATCTAGGCAAACCTGAAGTGCATTCAGAATTTGAGGCGTGACATTATGTAGTTACACAGCAATGATCATATATAAGATCCTTGGAGACCTTACCCTTTACCTCTCTCCACTATGAAAATTGACCATTTATTCTTACCCTATGTTTTGTGCCTTTTAACCAGTTATTCACCTATGAGAGGACCTTACTTTTTATCCCACAATTGCGTTCTTTAGCAGGATCTTGTCAAATGCTCTCCCTCAAAATGCAAGTACACTAGATCCAGTGGATCACCCTTGTACACACTTGTTGACATCCTCAAGAATCCCAACAGATCGGTGAGGCAGGATTTCTCTTTATAAAAGCCATTCCCCACTGTATCATGTTAATCTAATTTGTCTAATACATCTGTCCTTTATTATAATTTCAACCAATTTGCCTGCTACTTAGACTTAAAGGCCTGCAACTGTGTGTTCATCTTCTGAGAGGCTCATCCTTTTTTAAATCGGGTGACTGGTTAAGCAATATGTTTAATTGGTTAGCCAATTAAATGGGATTTCACATCTCTACCCCTTACCATGTGTATTAGTGGTTTTCTCCATCACTGGGTGTTCGGAAAGATTCACAAGATGAGTGAAGCAGAAGCCTAAGTTGCTCTTTCATTCACCCATGAAGCCCACCAGGAGACCTACATAGTATATTTCATACATATGCAGTACATTTAATAATAAAGCAGCAGAATCAGTTTTATATATGCCCATTAGACTAATACCAGAAAGATAGGAAAAGGAGAATTGGATGGTTTTGAAATTAGTAGATTATCCACATAGAAACTATGCCATGTTCTCCCTTGCAGCCCAGCAAAGCATTTCTGATTACTGTCTATCTTCCTTCTCCTGTTCATATGAGATTTTGAAATTTGACACATCAATTGTGCAGGCTGACATCCAGAATCATTAACAAATTCAGATTTGCTATCCTTAATGAAAGCATGGAAGTTCATTGTTATAGTGAACAACTGCAGTGAGCTACAATCGGGTCCTTGAATGTATTATATTTGAACCATACCACAGCAATGCTTGTTTCATCTATACATTAAAAAGGCTTTTAATAACAGAAATAAAATCATGCATGCAGAGGCTTGTTTCATAAACATTAGCACAGAGCAATACCACCATATGTATACTATTGTAATATGTGCAATGTTGTGTGATAATTATTGCCTATAATTCAGTGTGATTTTAAAATGTAACAAATAAAATATTGATCAACATGCTGAACTATTACTCAGAAGATAAGGTCAATTTATGAGTAGCATTAACTTGTAAAGGATTGTGACCTTCCTTGGGTACACAATAATTTGAGGGATAAGCCACTGTAGGTCTCCGGATGAAATGAAATGTTTATCAGAATCAGCTATTGAAAGGTATTAGATTTATGAGCTGCAGTTCACTTTAATGACCCACTCTAGGGCAATATCCCTGCAAAATGTGGATTTTGTAAAGGATTGTAGGCCTTTGATAATCCATCTGAGAAGACGGAGAATTCTGATAACATGTCAATGTATTAGAGATTGTTTGTGGTGGAAAAAAGAAAGAAAGAACATGATTAAGAGATTGAAGAACCTTCTATGTGAATGCACAGTCAAAATATAAAAATCTTACAAGGGATTCCTCTGACTTGCCCAAAATGTGAACATCATTTGATTTTGTAAATGTATAAATATGTTGGTACACTTTCATGTTTCTAAAATTGAAAGTGTGTCACTTCTGCCCTGAGAAAATAAGGCATCAAATGGTGTAATATCACAGTATTTTAAATTAGATGTAATTACTCTATCTAAATGTTTTCATTTTTGTTTTAGCGCTCAAATAGTTCTTCCCTGGAGCACCATAGGACCACAACAATTGTACTGACACCTAATATATATATATATTTTACATAAATACATGGAATATACATTTCTTCAAAACATTTAGATTAATTCTGTTGCATTCACTGAAAAAGTTGCAAAGTGTCATCCTAAAGGAAAAGATATGTGACTTGATGCTGGTTTTAAAGAAAACCCAAAATAATTATGCTTTTGTAGAACAAAAAACAGTTTAAGTCCACAGTTATTTATTTGCTCTGCAACATTCCATTCTCCCATCCTCTGACATGAAAGCTACTCAAGGGAGAGAGAGCTAGGGGAAGGGGGAGACTGGGAATGGCTGAAGAAGAGTTTGAGGGGGCTAGGAAGCAGTGGGTGGGGAGGATGAACAGTAGCAAGAGGGCAGGAGACATATGACAAAGAGCTGTAGTACAGGGAAACTTTGGCTGAGAAAGAC